TTTGATTTCTGTTCCAGATTCTACACCAAGGGAACGTTATACAAGAACAGGCAAAATGTGCAACTGGAGTACAATTCAACAGATCTCCTATGAGCTGAAAATTCTGGGGAAGTCCTTGCATTTCACTGAATGGAATCTTAGCTTGGCCTCTGTGAATGGGAGGGCTTGCCAACAGAGACTCTCGCCAACAGAAGTGGCGAGGCAATTTTCCCCAGTGTCTCCTTTCCCCTGCAGGACTCCCTCCGAGCTATGGTTATTCTTTTACAGGACAGAGTAAGCAGTAGTAGTGTGATGAGAGAATGTATAGCTGCAAAGAAAATACTTTCTCCATCTGCAGCTTTCATAGCCTCCAGATTATGCCTCCAGTTGCTCTTCTCTTCATCGGATTCCATATATGTGTTTGCCTTTTAACCTGAATTTTTCAGGAGAGATTGGGAGAAAATCTGGAATGCAGAAGCTTTAGTCGGATTTTAAAAATACTCATTGGCATGTGTTGATACTATTATAGGCATTGTATGCTTTTTAAATATTTTTTACTAAATTAGTGAAACAAAATTTTGATTTAGTGAAACAAAAGCAAGTTTATCAATTGGAAAAATACATTTTCCTTAGCAGAAACAAACAAATTCTGCCATCTCAAGAAAGATTCTCATCAAAATTTGGAATTGGTGCATCCACTTGAGCACCCCTGTCAAGCAGACAAGAGTGGCTGACCACACAACTTAGTGATGTAATTACTTGCCTGAATTTTCCCTTCCAGTAGACAGAAAATATAGCTCACCTTGGAACAATGATTTTCCTTTATTGCCACTCCTCAGTTTGGTTTGTATTATCACTGTGTACCTGATTTCCAATACAATCAGGTGATCTTGTGCTTGGGTGTGGATATGCAGTCTTCCCTTTAAAAGAATGTATGCAAACTGGAAATCATGGAAGGAAAAATGCTAAGTCAATAAAAAGGGTTTAAATTACTGGTGGATTAGTCTGCCCACAGTTACACTGGCTGGACCTGCTCTCTGATTGGCAGGAAAATTTGTAAGTGTACAGGGTGAGTTATATAATTGGAAATTTAGTAAGAAAAAAAGGCAAGCCGTAAACCCGACGTGCTACGGAGAAGTCTTGAATCTAGGTAAGTTTCAGCTTCATGAACAACTTTGTGCTTATGGAAGACAGAGGTAAACTGAAGCAAGGAATTGGGGCAAAAATGCTATACTAAAAGACTGAATATATCTGTATTTGTGACTGTATTAGAAAATATGACTTTACAGACTAAGTAAACTGGAGGATGAAGGTTCACTGTGCAATCTGATTCTCCATCTGCCCTGTGGGACAGATCTTGCCAGTTTTGCTGGCTTTCAATACCCCCCTGCTTAGAAGAAATCTGATAGCGATAGCTATATTTCTTATCCAGCTTATGATGGATGATATGGAAATACTCCTGGGGTGGTCTACAAATATTGTCAAAGAAAGAAATCCTAAAAACATAGATGTGGATTCAAGCAATGGCTTAGTTCTTTTGAGCACCAATAATTTCTGGGACATAGATTGCAACTCGCTTATGTGAAAATATGCACTTGACTCTAATCCCTGAAGGGGAACTTAGGAACATAATTCTCTGGGGGGTCCATGTACTGCTGTTCCTTTTGGATTCAAAACAGCTGTAGTTGAGTGAGGGGGCTCACTGGTGGATGATACAGAGTTTATAACATATTGCTCCTATTTAAAAAAACAACAGCAACAAAACAAAAACAGGACTAGACTTTCCCTAATTCTGTCTAATGCTGTTCTTTGGGCTAGTTTATATGTGACATTTAGCCCACATGTATGTGAAATATGGAACATGTGAGCCTAGTCAGGGGAGTTTAGCGACAGTTGTTGTGAATAATTAAGGAAGGTCTGAAATAGAAATTTTAATGAGAACCTCTCTACCATCATTTTGAATGTATACCTTTAAATTCCAAACTCTACAGCCAAATAAAGTAATACTCTATTGTTAAAAAAAAGCATTATATTAATTTAATAATTATTCCTTTGTTCAAAGGAATTCTGGCTCACTGAAACTCAGTATAACATGTTACCAGGGTTAGGTAGCTAACAGTAATAGCAATTAAGTAAAATCTTTATAAAAATTATGCCTAAAGTGCCTTGCCAATTCCTCCTCCTCCTCCCCCTCCTCTTTGTTGTTATTATTATTATTAATTACATACATGTGCCACCCAACTCCCAGCAACTCTATGTGGTTTACGCAGAAATGACAAAAGTGAATGGGATCATATTAAAAAAGGGGCTTCATATTCCAAAGGCTTGGGTGAAGAGCCAGGTCTTCAAGGGCCTTCAGAACATCAGCAAGGTGGGGGCCATCCAGATCTCAGAGGGAAACTTCATTCCAGAAGGCAGGCATTTCCGGGGTCCCAAGAAATGACATTGTTTAACTGAAGGAACCTGGAGTGTGCCGGCTTTGCAGATCAGACCGGCCAGGGAGATATCACAGGAGACAGGTGGTCCCTCAAGTTACTAGGCCCTATGCCATTTAGATTTGCGCTGACTTGAATCAGTGAAACTTGATATTGTGTAGAATTAACCATATCGTTTGCTTTTAATTCTGCACATACATTGAGTGAAAGCTGTACCAAAGTCTCTTACAAGAGTTATGCATAAATGCACTCTGAATGAATGAAATATATGCACACACATTCCCCTCACACATCATGTCTGTGTAGTTGGTTGAAGTGGTGAGAGCAAAGACAAGAGGCACTGTAGGCAATTATTTTAAGCCTGGAAGTCCTGCAGGAAGAGGAGGCACTTGGAATGCTGTGGGGAATGTGGGGATGACATTTCTAACTAGCAGTATCACTTGATTGCAGGTTGGGCCTTTTTCTCCTCTTCTGACATGTGGAATCCAAATGCAGGTAATACTTGGAAAGCTCTTGCTCCAGGGAAAAGAAATCATGTTTAAATCAATCTGTACATTTAGCAAAAAACAGAACAAAACAAAATGAAAAAAACCCAAACCCTCAAAGTCTGCATGAAACCTGATCAACAATTTTGTGTGCATTTCTCCCAATAGGGATATTTTTGTATGCCCTTTTCATGGTGTGCAGTTTTTGCTAGTGACTTTTCTTTCCTATATTCCAGTGTTTCTTAAAGTGTGGTCCTAGGGCCCCTGGGGGCCCCCCAAGCCCCTCTAAGAAGTCCTCAAAATCAAAATTATTTGCCAGCCTATTTTGAAAAATAATACAATTAAAATCTCATCAAACAATCATGAGAACCAGCAGAGGCAGCAAATGCATCAAGTTTAACTTTTAATACAGTAAATATCGATAAATATAACCCATACAACAAAAACTCTGTTGGAGTTCTCCATAATTTTTAAAAGTGGGAAGGAGTCCTGAAAGAAAAAAGAGTTTAAGAAACTCTGCTATATTCCATTATATTCTCCATTTTTATGCACGCTTCTCCCAAGGCCAGTTCTGTGGTCACTTTGGAGGTTTTTCACTCCAAACTTTAGAATATGAGAATTCAACATGCAAATTAATGCATGCAGTTGTACATGAACTCACACTATTTTGAAGAGAAGGAGAGGCTCCCTGTTCCCATTCCTGGTTTCTGTGCCCTCATTTGTAAGCGAAAGCTTATCTTTTTAACTCTTCCTCTATATGTTGTCTTACGTGTACTTTAGTTTTATTACTCAAGTATTATATTGTTTTATAAAACTTGACATTCTTCAAGATCTAGTTTTCCAGTAAAATAATTTTTATTTCTGCATCTAGGAACTATAGTTGGTTAAAGGCCTTATTTTCACAAAAGCTTTAGAGAGTACTGAACATAAAGATATTCTGAAGGGTGGGTCAAGGTTTCCTGATTGAAGAGATAATCTGCTTCTGTAGCTAATGTGTTTAAACTGGGTGGAACCCCTTTTAGAGGAGGTCAATAGCTAAACAAGGGCCCAGTATCTATATGTTTATGTTGCTGGCAGGAATGCCAGATGGGATGCCACCATCACAGCCTTTTCCTTCTGCTTCTGGACCACAAGTGGGACTTGGTCCTGGACCACAAGTGGGACTTGGTCCTGGACCACAAGTGGGACTTGCTCCTGGACCACAAATGGGTCCTGCTCCTGGACCACAAATGGGATCAGGAATGCCACTGTGTCCAGGTCCTGGTTACCCTGGCCAGCTTCCTCCTCTGTGTGGATTTCCCGGGCCAGTGGGGGGCCCTCTGGACAGACCACATCATCATGGACATCATCATGGATCTCAGCCACCATCTGGTCCATTTGGAATGCTCCCTGGCGGGCCTGGATGGCATCCTCCTGCACCACCGCCAGGTTGCCATCTTCCTGGGAGTCATCATGGACATCACAAAAAGCATAAGCATCATAAGCATGGCCATGCCCATCATGGCCACAAGGTAATTTGGTTATGTACTTTTCTGCATTTATTACAGTATTGTATATAATGTTCACAATGGAAACCATAGGAACAAACAAGTAGAAATGCAATTGTTAACAATACAGAAGTTAAATAAAGAAGGAAAAATACATGTGAAACATCAACATTTGTAATAGGCTTTAATCATTTTTCTTTCAGCATAGTGGCAGTTCCAGCAGCAGCTCAGATTCAGACTGAAGACCTCCCTCCCCAGCATGAATACAGCTCTTCAAACACTCCCCACATCAGTCAGAAATATTTTAAAATTCTTCCATTCCTTTGTATGTTCTTATGCATATAAACCATAAAACATGTACATTAGTTTATCCCAATTTGTGAGCTCTAAATGTGTTGAACTTCAGTGTAAGGTCCCCATCCAGCAGAACTTTTGAATTAAAGGCCAACATCTGGAAGGCACTATGGTGGAGAAGCTGATGTGATGTATTGTTAAAGTCATAACAATTTCTGCAATAAATACTAATGAAAAAATACCCATTTTGTATCAGCTATTCAGCTTAAAAGAGCTATGTTGATTACTTCATCTGTAAATACACACAAAACGAATGACACTATTATTAAGATATTGTGAAAAAAGAGTTTATTTATCAGGAGTGCAATTTTGGCTCAAGTAAGGATGTTATTCCAGAAACAGTATATCAAGAATACATTGACAGTGGGTATTCATTGCTCATCAATTAGTATGGCTTTGCACAGTGGCAGATTGGATAGTTCACACTGTATTTCAGAGAATGGTTAATCTGTGATTTATGAAAGAACAAGATTATTAGCAATTAGAAATAAGATGGAAGACATATTTTTGCTAGAAAGTTGGAAGTGTAAGAAAGGCAGTGTGGTGTAGAATAAGAAAAAACTAAAAGGAAAAAAATTACTTGGAGCTAGGAGTGTGCAAATCAGTAAAATATTAACAGGGCAGAATTCTGAATTACAAACATATGTTTTTAAAACCATGTTTTTGGTTTCATATGTTCATAATGTATGGAATCTTTATATCCATCTTCTTTGTTACGTAACATTTCAATTGCTTCCTCCCCCGTTTTCTTTTTAAAAATGCAGTCATGCTTTTTTCCATTCTTTTGCATGTAAATTTGCAGGCTTTTAAAACTTGGTTTGTAAGCAATTTCTTTGATTGGGGAAGCAATTAATTTGACTGAATTATTTATTCTACTGCAAAGCCTAATAGGAGTATACTGTTCAAATAAACTCCCAGTGGCCTCTTTTACATCTCTACGTGTACAGTAGTACACTTCAAACTGGGATCAGTTCAACAGTGCTTATCATCATTATTGTGGAAAAAAGAAAAATAGTCTGCCAAGGCAACCAGGGAATTTCCAGATTTATGCATGCAACAGTGAAAGCTGATGGCACTAGGCTTCAATTAAGTGTAGCAAGAAATCCAGAAGGTAATCCAGCAGAATCTCTTTCACATTATAATGGAGTCCATTTTCAGTGAAAGACTTCTTCCTTGGGAGCAGAACAGTGCAGGTACAGGGGGACTGAATGCCATATCTTGTCAGTATAGGAACAAAACTCCTTTTCTTAGATCTTTCTAAGATGAAGTAGCTATAGATATCTATGTGAAGTCCATTTATTACATGCATCATAATACATGGGAAACCATCCAATGTTTCAACCCTGAAGCAAGTACATGAAAAGCAAGCAAGGAAGACTAGATATTTACTAATGGAGTAGACCAAGTGCAAGACTCAGTACTGGTAAAAATATTTCCTGTTATTGTTTCAACTGCAAAGTATCTCCTTGAAAAGGGAGGAGTTGTTAGCATCACAATCAAGGCAAAATGGAATTACCCGTCTACCAGTAAATGGATGAGTGGGAAATAATGGGAGAGGAGGGAGGGTTAAGTTGGATCCTTGAGGCAGCTGGAAGTGATAATTTTTTATGCTTTATGTTGAATGCACTGTTCCTCTATTCAGCACCAAAAGGATTACAATATAAACATTTTAAACAATGTTTTAAAGCATGACAAATGATACTGTGTTGTTCTGTATCCTCCTATGATCTTGTTTTTAATTAGCACCATAAACATTATTTGAAATGAGCCTACCAATTTTGAATATAAAAATAAATTCCCTTGAAAATTTGTGCCAGCTACCCTCTGGCAGCATATGTTTGCTAAAAAACCATGTAACAATATAGGAGCACAAAAGCTTTGGTGTCTTCCTCACAACTAACAGATCCACCTAATGAATCTATCGAAGAAGTCAGGCTGGGAGAGACTTGTGTAGTCCTTCTCCCGGAATATGGCTGACCGGTCTCCTAGGCTGATCTTCAGCAGGACATCCATGTCCACATCACTGCCTAGGGCCACCACTGTGGACATAACATTCTGCTTCTTCATGGAATCAATTGCCTCATCCAAGTTTTTGTTGCTTGTAATACCATCTGTGATGAAGACAAATGACAGCTCCGCATTACGCCGAGCTGCCTTCTGCCTGTCTTGTATGTTGATGACAAGGTTGTTGATAGCATAGATGATGGCAGACCCAATGTTGGAAGAGGAGTCCAAATATTGGATCCCGGCTAAACGATCTGAGATGTTAGTAAGATTGTATGTCAGTGGGAAAACTACCACATGTTCATCCTCATTTCCATATTGCAGCAGGGCAATGCGTGCATTCATGTTGTCATTGTCACTTCTGGCCAGTGTGAGATGCTCAGCCACTTCTTCTATAAAACCATGGGCCCTGCGAAAGTTCAGGCTGCCAGTTCTTTCAGAACCATCCAGGAGGAAGACAATGTCAACTGGACGCTGTGTGCACTGGGCAACAGAAAGCTCTGAGTAGGGGAAGGAAAAAGAAACAGACAATCAGGACTCTACCATATATAACTCAAAAAGCTGGGGAATGGATTTCATTCCACTTTGAGATTTTCTAAGCCTGGAAATCAAGCAAGGGAATGTTTATTCTTTTCTCATCTTCTTCCCCATCTACCATAAAATATTTCTGTTATTCCAGAGGGACACTGAGAGTTTAAACTCTGAGAATGGCAGAGTTTAAGAACCATGTGCTGTTTGGAATGGAAGTAAAACTTCACACATGCAACTAGAAAGAAAAGTACAAGTAGAAAAAAGATGATGTATATCTAAAAAATGGAATTTCTTTGGGCTGGCAATCCATGTGCCCTCAGTCTCTTAGTAGTCAGGGGTTTTCACTGAAGAACATTTTTGACCAGTATATTTGTGCTAAGAGTTGGTATTATGATGGCATGGAATATATAAAACAATTCATGTGATAAAAATACTTAATTTTGATTAATTTTGTGGGGTACAACATTTAGTTTAAAAAGCATTTAAAATAGAGGAAGCAGGAAGACATACACAAACACCACCAAAACCATTATCTTCTTCACCAAAAAATGTGAACTCCCCTGAGTTTAAAGACTAAAACCTAGGGAAGAGGCATTTCTTTAATTGGGTGGTGACCATATTTTCCAAATGTTTCTTTGCTGCAAAGAATTTGAGAAATTTTGCTCCAGGACCTAAAATGAGAAAGGGATGTCCTGGGAGAGGATTACAGGTAGTCCTTGTTTAGCAATCATTCACAATTACGATGTGATGAAAAAGTAACTTTACAACCAATCCTCACATTTATGACTTTCATAGGTCTGTAAAGTGGAAAAAAAAAACTGAAGGAAGATTATAAGCACAGTCACAGTTTCACTTAGTTACCACTTCACTTAATGACTGAGTTGCCAGTCCCAATTGTGGTTGCTAGACGAGAACTACCTGTACTTAGGACAAGTCCTAGGCCTAACTAGATTTTTGTTTGAAAAGATATATTAAAGCTGCAATAAATATTACTCCATTAGCCAAGGTTTACAGTTTATTGAGATTTCATCTCTTTCTCTCTTTCACCTAATGAAAGCACATTATTTTATTTATTTATTTATTTATTTTTATTTATTTATTTATTTGATTTATCTCCGCCCATCTCCCCCTGCTGGGGGACTCTGGGCAGCTCACATAACCCATTAAAACAATAAATATATATAAAATTATCTAAAACATAGAAACTGTGCAAAACATTACTAGAAGAAACGAAAAAGTCCCAGAGGCCGATGGTTTCCAGAGCTGCAGACGACAGGCCTCTACTGTAAGGGGCTAGCCATCCCCATGCTTGATGTATTCCCTCCCCACCCCAGGCCAAGTGGCAGAGTCAGGTCTTCAAAGCCCTCTGGAAGGCCAGGTGTGAGGGGGCCAATCTCACCTCCGGGGGCAGAATATTCCAGAGAGCGGGGGCTACAGCAGAGAAGGCACACCTTCTGGACCCTTATAATTGGAGCTCTTTTACCAAGGGGTCCGAAGCATGCCCTCTCTGTGTGATCAGGTAGGACAGGTTGAAGTCATGGGGAAGAGGTGGTCCCTTAA